ATACCGTGGCAGCAGAAAACACACTAGGTAGGTGATGTTGTATCAACCCTGGCCCATCCCTCCCCAGCTTGGGCCACCCTCCTCCCCGCCACGGCCAGCCCCTCACAGCCCAGCCCAGGCACATGGCACAGCCCCCCAGTTTATGCTCTCTGACCCCATTAGTCAGCTGCAAAGCACCAGGAAAAAAAGATGCAGTTGTAAGATGATCCCAAGTTGGGAGGGGCTGCAAGTGCTTTAGAGGACAGGTTCAGAATTCACAATGATCTGGACAAACTAGAGAAATGGTCAGAGGTCAATAGGATGAAGTTTAATAAGGAGAAATGCAGAGTGCTCTCCTTAGGAAGGAACAATCAGTTTCACACACACAGAATGGGAAGCGACTGCCTAGGAAGGATCCTGAAGAAAGGGATCTAGGGGTCAGAGTGTAACAAGCTAAATCTGAGTCAACAGTTTGACACTGTTGCAAAAAAAGCAAACATGGTTCTGGGCTGCATTGACAGGATTGTTGTGAGCAAGACACGAGAAGTCATTCTTCTGCTATACTCTGTGCTGGTTAGGCCTCAATTGGGGCTCGTCTACACTGGCCCCTTTTCCGAAAGGGGCATGGTAATTTCAGAGATCGTAATAGGGAAATCCGCGGGGGATTTAAATATCCCCCGCGGCATTTAAATAAAAATGTCCGCCGCTTTTTTTTGGCTTTTAGAAAAGCCGGAAAAGAGCGTCTACACTGGCCCCGATCCTCCAGAAAAAGCGACCTTTCCCGGAGGATCTTCAAAGTAGGAATAAGATCCTCCAGAAAAGGGCGCTTTTTCCGGAGGATCGGGGCCAGTCTAGACGCTCTTTTCCGGCTTTTCTAAAAGCCAAAAAAAAGCGGCGGACATTTTTATTTAAATGCCACGGGGGATATTTAAATCCCCCGCGGATTTCCCTATTACGATCTCTGAAATTACCATGCCCCTTTTGGAAAAGGGGCCAGTGTAGACGTAGCCTTGGAGTATTGTGTTCAGTTCTGGGTGCCACATTTCAAGAAAGATGTGGAGAAATTGGAGAGGATCCAGAGAAGAGCAACGAGAATGATGAAAGGTCTAGAGAACATGAGCTATGAGGGAAGGCTGAAAGAATTGGGCTGGTTTAGTTTGGAAAAGAGAAGACTGAGAGGGGACATGACATCAGTTTTAAGGTATCTAAAAGGGTACATCTACATTTGCTCCCTAGTTCAGACTAGGGATGCAAATGTAGGCAACTGAAGTAGTTAATGAAGCGAGGATTTAAATATCCCGCGTTTCATTAACATGATGTCGTTGGGACGTGTTAGTTCGAACCAAAGCCAGATCCAGTGGCTTAGTGGGCCAGATCCGTTCCCCCAGGGCGTATTTTGCCCAGCACTGGTCTAAGTGGGGCTGGGTCCTGCCGTGAGGGCGGGGACTGGACTCGATGCCTCTCGAGGTCCCTTCCCGTTCAGTGTTCTAGGAGTCTATGCACACACCAGTGGACGTCAGTCAGGGCCAGAGTTTGCACCCTGGGCGCTATTGATGGGATTTCATACTGGGCTTTCAGCCCCGCCCAGGCTGGCTGCATGGGAGGAAGCAAAGCTGCGCCGGGGAGAAACGCACTTTCTGAGGGGGGTGGAAAAGGAGACTGGGGAGGGGAACCCTTGTGCCCAGCCAACTGCTCCCCAAACACTTTCACCTCAGAGGATACGAGCTCCTGGCTCCGCCGAGCCCCCAGCTGGGCCACCTCCAGTAGCAAGCGCTGAGGTAAAATCATCTCCCTGCTCCAGCTCAAATCCTCTCCACGCCCAGGCTCTCAGCTCTTTCCCCTCTTTCATTCACACAGAAGGGACAACAGCAGTCAAGGGCTTCTCCAGAGGATGCATGACTAACTTTGCCAGCAGCCTAGACGGACAGCTCACATTCACTGCTGAGCCGGGCCGGTATGTGAGGATCAGCACCAAAAAATGCAACGCGGATCAATGTAACAAGGATCCCCTAACAGGTAAATGCAGGGTCTGTTTTCCTGCCCCTCGGTAGAGGCTGGTTCCCAGGAACCGTTCGACAGTGTTGGGTGGGAAGATGGGGGCCTAGCACTCCGGGGAGCCATGGGAATGGGTCCTTCGATTGCCTCCAAAGAGGATGAGCTCAAAGCACATGAAGGAGAGGTAGATACACTGGAGGGCAGGGAGAGAATCCAGTGTGACCTGCACACATTGGAAGTTTGGACCAAAAGAAATCTGAGTCCTGCCCTTGGGATGGAAGAATCCCAGGCATTGTTACTGGCTGGGGACTGAATGGCTAAGTAGCAGTTCTGCAGAAAAGGCCCTGGGGATTCCAGTGGATGAGAAGCTGGAGATGAGTCAACAGGGCACCCTTGTAGCTGAGAAGGCGAATGGCATATTAGGGGGGTATTAGGAGGAGCATTGCCAGTAGATCTAGATAAGTGATTATTCCCCTTTATTCGGCTCTGGGGAGGCCACATCTGGAGTATTGTGTCCAGTTCTGGGTCCCCCACTATAGAAAGAAGGTGGACGCATTGGAGAGGGTCCAGGGGAGGGCGACCAAAATAATTCAGGGGCTGGAGCACATGACTTATGAGGAGAGGCTGAGGGATTGGGGCTTGTTTGTTCTTCAGAAGAGAGGCTTGATCTGGGATTTGAGAGCAGCCTGCAACTCCATAGGGGGGTTCCAAGGAGGCTGGAGAGAGGCTGTTCTCAGTGGGGGCAGATGGCAGAACAAGGAGCAATGGGGCTCAAGTTGCAGTGGGGGAGGTCTAGGTTGATGATTAGGACAAACGATTTCCCTAGGCAGATGGTGAAGCCCTGGGCTGGGTTCCCTAGGGTGCGGGTGGAATCTCCGTCCCTAGGGGTGTTTCAGTCCCGGCTGGACGAGCCCTGGCTGGGATGATTGAGTTGGGTTGGTCCTGCCTTGGGCAGGGGGCTGACTCAATGACTCATGAGGGCTCTGCCCACCCTGGGGTCTGTGGTTTTATGAGTGGTTCCTGCACCTCAGCAGGGTGCATGGGACAGCTAGTCTGGCTCAAGGTATCTTCACCCCCGGCAGAGTTTTAGACCCAACTGCAGTCAAACTCTTCATGTGGACAAGCCCCGGCATCCTTGTCTTTGTTCCTGTTTCCCCCTTGGTTGCCCCAGACTCCATGTACTCCTGTGTCATTTCTGTCTCCAGGGAAATCCCTGTGGCTGGCGAGTCTCCAAGCAGGTGGGGGAGGGGGTTTGCGGGGGTTGAATAGTCGGGGTCAAAATCTGAGGAGCAGCTGCTGGGACAGGCTCAGATCTAAAGCTCCCTGAACCTATCAGGCTCCCCCTTCACACCAGGGGCCTTTCTTTTCCCCTCCTCCTGCTGGGAACCGGCTCCAGGACCTGCCTCTCCTGGGGGTGGGCGCCGGGTTCCCAGCCCCAGGCCTGTCCCGTGCTGCCAGTTTGTCCCCGTCGGTTCTTGAGCGAAGAATTGAAACCAGCCTCCTTGGCCATTTCCCAACCCCCCGGATTTCCTGCTCCGGGATCCGGGACAGCTCACGGCTGCGGCGTCACCGGTGTTGGAGCCTTGGGAGACGCTCGGCCGTGGCTGGGAAATTGGCACCTCTGGCCCAGGGCAGGTGGGGAGGGGGCTGGGGGCTACCCGGTGTACAAAGGCGTCTGCACCAGCTCTTAGGCCAAGATGGGAATAGGAGCCGGGCAGGTTGCCAGTCTATGGGCAGGGATAAAAGGTTCAAGGGGGGATTCCAGGGCAGGGTCGGCCCCACACCAGCTAACCGGGAAGAAGAGGCAGATGAGGGTTTTTATGAACAACACACCTAGCCCAGGACTTGGAAGCGAAGGGGGACTTCAGCCACCCAGAGCCAAGGAAAATAACACAGCCGGGCACAGATTATCCAGCGCTGGGTCTGAGACAGGCCCGGAGGCTGCTGGGCTGATCAGATGGCAGGAGGGTGGGTCTGATTTCTCCAAACACAGCAGGGCGCTGGCTCTGGGGCCCAGGAACACCCGGAAAGGCAGGAACCCATCGGCGGTGGGGTGCAGAAGGTGCTGGGTGACAGATGGACAGATCAACGCCCTCTGGCCAGGGTGGGGGCCTTTGGCAAGCCAGGGCCGCGGGCGCACAATACGGGTTCTATGAGGTTTAACTCCCCCGCAATCGTGTGTCTCCCGATTCTCAGTGCCCCAGGTGAAAGACTCCCCGAATGGGCTGCAGTGCCCATCCTGCCAAGCTGTGGGCGCCAGCACCTGCATCCCCGTAATCACCCCTTGCAAAGGGGAGGAGACTTTTTGCGTCAATTTGATTGGGACCTTCAAGAAAGGTAAATCCTGCCAGTGAGCCGTGGGGTGGGAGGGAGCTGGGGAACCTTCTACCCCGGGCAGTGCCCCAGACCCTGGGCAGCGGGACAGCAGCATCACTGCAAGGCACCCTGGGACGGGCTCCTAGAACCTCCCAGGCCCCTCTGCTGGGCCGAGCCCTTGGTGGGAGGAGTAGTGAAGGGGATTTTGGCTGGAGGGAAGCAGAGAGGAATTGGGATGTTTCCCTCCCAGCCCAGCTCCCCCCCAGCGATGCCGCCCTGCTCCGGGGGCGATGGCAGCGGGGTACTTGCTGGGGAAGGGTTGTGATGTCAGTGATGCAGAGCTGGGGAGAGAACCCTGGAGTCCTGGCTCTTCCCCTTCCCCCACTGCTTTAACCACTAGTCCCTTCCCCCTTGATGTTTAAGGTGGAGCTAAGCTGCTGTTGCTCCGTGGGCAGCTCCTGCTCTTAGTGTGGCCCAGGGCTCCCGGGGCTCTGGGGTGGTTATAAAATAACTGAACCAAGCGGGGGGCTGTCGGGGGTGGGGAAAGCCGGCGTGTTCCCCGGTGGCGCCGCGCTGGGGAAGGAGCCGCCCTGGCCACAGCTCCGTTCCCAACCCCAGCCCCAGGCCCCGGGGGGGTGCAGGGGGGGAG